AGGCGTGAGCCACCGCGCCAGGCCCAAAATTCTTAACAGAGTCTATAATGTCCCCCTATCTCACTATTCTGTGACCATTCACCTCTCCTACACTTTGACCAATTACACAAGACTTCCAGTTCTTTGAACATTCCTTGCTCTTTTCCTTGTTGTTGCTCTTACTTTCTTCTGGAACATTCTTCCCCATTCCACACTCTTCTAACATTTCACCCATTTTACCCTTACTCACCAGGAACAGCTCCACCGTCACTCCCCCAGCAAAGTTGTACTGTTCTTCTGTTCATTATCGTCACTAGATTGTAGCTTATATAAAAGCAAGAAATGTATCTGGTTTTGCTCACTTTTATTTCTAGGTCTTAGCACTTGCTTGATATGTAGACAATGTTTCATAGATATTTGATTACTACACATGGAAAAAATAAAGTGGAACGTGAATTCTAACTGAATAACACATTCTGATGCTGTTCAGCTAATGGTTGAATTCACTGAATAGGTTTGAAATCAAGTCTATATTCCTATGATATTTATTTTCACCAAAGATACGAACACACCCTCCATAACAATCTGTTTATCTTCAGAGACTCTTAGCTCTGTTACATTAGGGTAGTAATTCCCAGTAACAATCTTAGCCTAGATTAATTAAGAATGTAGGTTAATATAGTAGCTGATTTGTGAAATTTTGAAAATAAATAAAATTTGATTCCATAGCAACATTCAAAAGAAATCATCACCTTAATATAAGCCATGGCAATCTGCTAACACCAACCAAAATTTATCTCTGGTTAAGATTTTTATCTTTCACAAACTAATTTAACCACTAAATAAATGTATCTCTTCTGGCTTATTCACAGCTCACTCTTTCACTTAAAGGGAGGAATCAAATTATCTCAGACTCATTTACCACAATAATGTTCATTGAGGTATCCTTTATAGGATAGATCGAAGGCTTTTCATTTATTCTTCCAATAAACCTAACTTCTAGGTAGCATTTAATTTCCTGTTAGATTAAACTTCAGTCTACCTCTTACCTAACTTGTTCCTCTATGTTTGGCTCTCTTTTACAATTAGTATAGTACCTATAGTTAATAACTAAAATATTTGTGTACAGCAGAACTATGTTGTCTCTGACCAGAAGATTTTTCTGGAGGAGTCATTTTTTCCACCAAGTATTTTAAAAGTAAAAAAAAAAGAAAAAAAAATGCATTTTTTTTTCTTTTTTTTTTTTTAGGGGAAGGTAGTTTTTCCTTTCAAATGTGTTTTAAGCATTAATGATGTTGTACTATGTTATTCATTGAGCCTTCCTTTGAGATTCTGACCTTGGGGTAAAGTTAAAATGCATCCATGAAAATAAAGAATCCTTATTCTTCATGTAAGTGAAAGATTATAATTAAATGTGAATGTGCTACATAATGTTTTAACCAAAATGAATCTTTGTGAACACATATTGGATTAGATTTTAAGTGCATACTTTGTATTTTTTTAATTGAGTCCATTAGAAACACAACTATCATTTATTTCAAGGACCTGTAAGGAGACTAGCAAAATACTTTTTATCTGGCCAGTGAATACATGCTACTTAAAAACTGAGAGAGTTACAGAGTAAAGACAGTAAAGACACAGCAGTGAGTTAATCATCAAAAAGCTGGTGAACATATATAGGTGAGAAAATGTAGCTCAACTTCCCACAGCAAACAAAGATGAAACAACTATCTCCTATTGCATAAATATAGCAAATAAATGACATTAAATATAGTAAATATGGGAAAAAAACTTTGAAGTGACCATAAACTTCAAATACCATAGGAGATCACAATAAATCTACTTGAAAACAAAATAGCTCAGAAGTTTATGACTCCCTTATCAAACGAGCTATACCAATACACAGTTTCATTATAACAACATACGACATGTATACAGATTCAACTTAAATAGGATCTTTATGCAACCTAGTTAAAGCTCTTTATTCTTTGTGCCTTTGTAAAAATTGTTATAAATATTCAGGAAGCTACATTGTTATTTAAAGGAAAAGGATAACAGCTAGTGCTTTGCCTTCTCAAAAGCATCTATATCAACAGTTTTGTTTTAAAATTATTGTTTCATTGTCTGTCATCTCTCTAGGTAGCTATAGCTCCACATTATTAAGTTGCCTGATACTTATTTAAAAGAGGCTTAGCTAAGTATATATTAATGTTAAAAAAGACTCAGGGTTTTATTTGGCTACATGAAAAGTGTGAATGACCATTTATTGAGGATCCTATCATTTAAACATTTTCATTAAGTGGGAGGGAAGATTCAGTGATTTTGTTGAGGTCTGGGTTTCTAAATGTCTCTTTTTTTGGTACCTGAGTTCAAATATAAGATTGGCATTCATAGCAGAAATTAACTAGACTGCAAGGTTTTAAAAGAGTTTTAGCAAATGGCAATATAAGAAGAGGGTCAGGCTAAAAGTGGGCAGGAATTACATATCCTTTGTGAAAAATAATTTTCTAAATTGCAACCAGAAAAATCCCTAGAATTTGCTGAAAATTATACTGCCTAGAGAAGAAAAAAATGTGAAAATATTGACATAAAATGTTCAAAGATTAATTTTTATTGATTTATGTCAATTTTAATTACCATTACAACAGTATATAATGATCCGTATTAAATTAAATATAATGGATGAAAATTAAACTGTGTATTTCAGGCTGATTCAAGAAGAAAAAGAATCTACAGAGTTGCGTGCTGAGGAAATTGAGAATAGAGTGGCTAGTGTGAGCTTGGAAGGCCTGAATTTGGCGAGGGTCCACCCAGGTACCTCCATCACTGCCTCTGTTACAGCTTCATCACTGGCCAGTTCATCTCCCCCCAGTGGACACTCAACGCCAAAGCTCACCCCGCGAAGCCCTGCCCGGGAAATGGATCGGATGGGAGTCATGACGCTGGTATGGTGATGTGTCCAAAGAATCTTTGCCCTGTTAAGGTTAATGATACGTTAGCTAAACGCTTTGGGTGTTTG